TCGTCTACAATATACACTCAGCTTTAGGCCCATGTCAACAAGGACTTTCTGTTCGACTGTACCCATGTAAAAATTAGCGAATAGTACATCATGGGGAACCCCCTGTTATGATCACGCATACACCAGAATGATCATACTGAGATTGGTGAATGAGTGTGCTCAAACTATACAGTGATATCTTGGTTGATAGCTTCGTATCACGAATATTGTGTATATGATATAATCTCATGTTACCATGAATTCTTATTTTATGTATTGTCATTCGGTTGTGACCCAACTGAGCACAATGGCATGTCATGTATGTTCACTTTTCCTAACAGCTGAGCCCTTAAAGCTCTGGGTCCAGTCAGTACCTCTGGCGCAAATGAGATTTACCACACTCACGTGTGCAATAACATGCAAATGACACGAATATTTTGCAACAGTCTATGCTAGGAGTTAACTTCGGAGTCTGGGGAAGGATCCACTCCTCATTTTCTTTCTATTTTTATATTTTTAACCATTTATTTTTGAAATTTGAATAGTTTTCTTTAAATTTGATCTAATTGTTAATTTTTGCTTTATTGCTTTTAGTGATTTAGTGCTTTAAGTATCTTAGTGCTTATTCACTTCTCAATTTATTTTCTTCTTTATCATCTGCATCCGTATATAAATTGTGTAATTTTTGTTTTGTTTATCAGAAAGATTCACTTTGCCACTTCCAGGAATTTAATAATCAGTGTATCTGTCATTGTTAAGTATTCTCCTAATCTATCTTACCTTAGCTGATGTTCCCTATGACTGAAGGTTGAGACACTTTCCTGTTTCGAAGTGAGGCAGCTTTTTCCGTTATAGGAATATCTTCCCTGTTTTTTCTCTAATTCTCCTGACTGGACCTTCAAACTGTCGTTTTGTGGAGGATTATATTCCAGTGCTATTATTAACTCAAGAACAATGGCAATGGAAGGGCCTCTTATATAATTAATGAATCTTTCTAGCTTTGTATTGACAATTCTTATATGACAATTCTCAATTCTTATAATTGGAATTGTGGTACCAATTTTTAAGAAAGGAGATAGATCACTTGCGTCAAACTATCGGCCAATTAGCCTAACGTCTATTGTGGGAAAGTTACTTGAATCAATAATTGCAAATACAATTTCAAGAGGGGGGAGAGAGAGAGAGAGCGAGAGAGAGGGAGAGAGAGAGAGAGAGAGAGAGAGAGGAGAGAGAGAGAGAGAGAGAGAGAGAGAGAGAGAGAGAGAGAGAGAGAGAGAGAGAGAGAGAGAGAGAGAGAGAGAGAGAGAGAGAGAGAGAGAGAGAGAGAGAGAGAGAGAGAGAGAGAGAGAGAGAGAGAGAGAGAGAGAGAGAGAGAGAGAGAGAGAGAGAGAGAGAGAGAGAGAGAGAGAGAGAGAGAGAGAGAGAGAGAGAGAGAGAGAGAGAGGGAGAGAGAGGAGATAGTGGGGTGGAGAGAGAGACAGGTAAATAGATGGTGAGATAACAGAATAACTGGGAGGTGAAGAGATGAGAGACGAATATGAGAAATAGAACAAAAGGGGAAAGTAATGGCATATTAAGAGGCAGGAAATATAATTAGAGGGGAGGATGAAGGGAGACAAGAGATGAGGGTAAGTGTATATGAAGGAGGAGACAGAGAGGAAGGGGAAGAGGGGGGGAGGGGACAAGTAAGAGGATAACGGTAAGGAAGAGGAAGAGGGAGGCGGATGGAATTACCTAGAAGGGTTGACGGACACCCAGAGGGAGGTTGATATGTTGATATGTGTTTGAGGGTAACAGTGGTTGATCAGTTAGAGGCAGCGGCTGGGTGGGGTAGAGTGAGTGTATCAGGCGTTGGGGGGTGGGGTAGTGTAGTGTATCAGGGGTTGGGGGGTGGGGTAGGATGAGTGTATCAGGAGTTGTGGGGTGGGGTAGAGTGAGTGTATCAGGGGTGGGGTGAGTGTATCAGGGGTTGAGGGGTGGGGTAGAGTGAGTGTATCAGGGGATGGGAGTGGGGTAGTGTGAGTGTATCAGGGGTTGGGGGGTGGGGTAGGATGAGTGTATCAGGAGTTGTGGGGTGGGGTAGGGTGAGTGTATCAGGGGATTGGGAGGTAGGGTGAGTGTATCAGGGGTTGGGGGGTAGGATGAGTGTATCAGGGGTTGGGGGGTGGGGTAGGATGAGTGTATCAGGGGTTGGGGGTGGGGGTAGGATGAGTGTATCAGAGGTTGGGGGTGGGGTAGAGTGAGTGTATCAGGGGTTGGGGGTGGGGTAGAGTGAGTGTATCAGGGGTTGGGGGTGGGGTAGAGTGCGTGTATCAGGGGTTGGGGGTGGGGTGGAGTGAGTGTATCAGGGGTTGGGGGTGGGGTAGAGTGAGTGTATCAGGGGTTGGGGGTGGGGTAGAGTGAGTGTATCAGGGGTTGGGGGTGGGGTAGAGTGAGTGTATCAGGGGTTGGGGGTGGGGTAGAGTGAGTGTATTGGGGGGTGGGGTAGAGTGAGTGTATCAGGGGTTGGGGGTGGGTTAGAGTGAGTGTATCAGGGGTTGGGGGGTGGGGTAGAGTGAGTGTATCAGGGGTTGGGGGTGGGGTAGAGTGAGTGTATCAGGGGTTGGGGGTGGGGTAGAGTGAGTGTATCAGGGGTTGGGGTTGGGGGTGGGGTAGAGTGAGTGTATCAGGGGTTGGGGTGGGGGTAGAGTGAGTGTATCAGGGGTTGGGGGTGGGGTAGAGTGAGTGTATCGGGGTTGGGGGTGGGGTAGAGTGAGTGTATCAGGGGTTGGGGGTGGGGTAGTGTGAGTGTATCAGGGGTTGGGGGTGGGGTAGAGTGAGTGTATCAGGGGTTGGGGTGGGGTAGAGTGAGTGTATCAGGGGTTGGGGGTGGGGTAGAGTGAGTGTATCGGGGTTGGGGGTGGGGTAGAGTGAGTGTATCAGGGGTTGGGGGTGGGGTAGTGTGAGTGTATCAGGGGTTGGGGGGTAGGGTAGTGTGAGTGTATCAGGGGTTGGGGGTGGGGTAGAGTGAGTGTATCAGGGGTTGGGGGTGGGGTAGAGTGAGTGTATCAGGGGTTGGGGGTGGGGTAGAGTGAGTGTATCGGGGTTGGGGGTGGGGTAGAGTGAGTGTATCAGGGGTTGGGGGTGGGGTAGTGTGAGTGTATCAGGGGTTGGGGTAGTGTGAGTGTATCAGGGGTTGGGGGTGAGGTAGTGTGAGTGTATCAGGGGTTGGGGGTGGGGTTGTTTGAGTGTAACAGGGGTTGGGGGTGGAGTAGGGTGAGTGTATCAGGGGTTGGGGGTGGAGTAGGGTGAGTGTATCAGGGGTTGGGGGGTGGGGTAGGGTGAGTGTATCAGGGGTTGGGGGGTGGAGTAGGGTGAGTGTATCAGGTGTTGGGGGTGGAGTAGGGTGAGTGTATCAGGGGTTGGGGGTGGAGTAGGGTGAGTGTATCAGGTGTTGGGGGTGGAGTAGGGTGAGTGTATCAGGTGTTGGGGGGTGGAGTAGGGTGAGTGTATCAGGGGTTGGGGGGTGGAGTAGGGTGAGTGTATCAGGGGTTGGGGGTGGGGTAGGGTGAGTGTATCAGGGGTTGGGGGGTGGAGTAGTGTGAGTGTATCAGGGGTTGGGGGTGGGGTTGGGTTAGGGCAGCAGGAATCAGCGGGAATCAATTAGGGCAGCAGGAATCAGGTGGGGGTATTGCCAGTGTTGCAAGGGATGTGACAATAGGTGTGGCGGGGAGGGGGTGGTGGCAGCAGTAGATCAATTGTAAGTTTCTGATCTCATTAATAAAAGACGTGGCCAATAATGAGAGCCTCAGTGAGAGAGGAGAAACGGAACAGTTATGACCCATAACTGCTCCACAGGCACATCAGGAGGAAAAGAACAGTGATGGAACAGGTGACGAAACTGAGAAAATGGGAGAACAGATACACAGAGAATGACAAGGAGGTGTGTGTGAAGAATTCAACAAGAGAGTCCAGAAGTCTGGACAATAGAGCAAGGAGAAGTGCCTGAAGTGAGAGAGGAGGTGGTAAAGCAAGCATCGGTTGGAACTGGATGTGACAAAGGCTGTTGGACCTCAGACTCACCATGGATATTAAACCAAGCATAATGCTTGCACTCTCCATAGTGTATAATAGGTCACTGGAAACAGAAACACAAGATGAAGTTAAAGCAAGTTCAGAGATATGTCACCTGGCTAGTCCTCGAGCTAAGTGTATCAGCTAATGGGACAAGCCGTTGGAATTAAATTGGAAGACAGAAGAGTTAAGGGAGACATTATCACCACACCCAAATTCTCAGGGGAATTGACAGAGTAGATAAAGACTATTTATCACTAGTAGTATATGAACACGGGGACACAGGTGGAAACTTATAACCCAAATGAGCCACAGACGTTAGGAATAACTTTTTCAGTGTCAGAGTAGTTAGCAGACGGAATGCATAAGGACGCGATGTGGTGGAGGCAGACTCCATACACAGTTTCAAGTGTAGATATGATAGAGCCCAGTAAGCTCAGGAACCTGTTCACCAGTTGATTGACGGCTGAAAGGAACGGGGCAAGGAGCCGAAGTGCAACTCCCATAAGAACAACTTGGTGAATACACAGATTTCCACACTCAGACTGTTCAACACCATGGTACACACACAGCATTGTACACTCTGGACACCATGGTACACTCAGCCTTGTACACTCTGGACACCATGGTACACTCAACCTGCAGACAGTGTACACACAGTGATTAAGCATAGAGCTTAATCAGTAGCCAGTATCAGCTATAGTTGTGGTACCAGCCAAGATCAGCCATACCTTCATCACAAGCACAGATTCTGGCAGTTGTGGTAATCTGACCTTCAAGATTGATTTCCTTAAAGCAAAAGGTCAGGTAACAAAAATATTTCTCACTACGACTGTGTGGACACCATAAGCACGGAGTCACGGGGGACGACCCATGATACATGGGACACATATTCCTTCAATTTACCGCTGAGCTGACTCTTTAACCACCACATTGACCAGTCACTCACACTGATATTGACTACCTGCATGTTTCTCAGAGTTCATTACCCAGCACTACTGCAAAAGAGACAGCACATCATCGCCAGCAGGTCCGACCTGCTCAGGTCACCCGGCTGGACCACTTATGCTTGTCTGGAGACGCTGATGAAAGAGTAACTCGAGTCCAAAGGCCGCTGCTGACTTACTCCAGACGTGACGCAGTTAAAGCTTCTCTCTCTCTTGCTTTTGTTCTGGATGGCCTCTGAGGTCAGGAAGCCACACGCCATGTTTAAGGTGTGGGATATTGATATAACAGCAGTGAATATGTCACGAGACTATCTGCAAATAAAGTCATTTGGTACCAAATATGAGAGAACAACTCGTATTATATATACAACGATCTCTACATTCACTTATGTAGATTAACTGGAGGTGTCTACGAGTGCAATTTCAAGATAACTGATGACAGTGACTGGGAAGTGTTGGTGATAACCTTCACTGCTTCTGCTTCTATTTTGGAACATCTTCCCTCACTTGATGTGGTCTCAGCTATGACGTGTGACGGAGGAAGTGCAGCACTGTGTATATATATACTGTACTCGCCATTATTGTAAAGTAACGAAATTATCATATTCAATTTGCCATTAGTAAGTGTTAAGCCAAGTTTCAAGGTTTTTAATATTATTGTTTTTGTTTTCATTGTTATTAAATAAAGTGTTTAATTTGTTAATGTCTTGTTTCCCCTGCACCTGTTTACACCACAAAGACAAAGCAGTTTTATTTTAATTTGTTTAAACTTTTTTTTCTTTAATAATGTGCGTTAGGCACACACCACTTGCAGTAGCAGTAGCTGCACTATCTCAAACACATTACATCATGGCGAACTAAAGCAAGTTCTTTTTGGATGGGAGGTGTGACGATGTCGACGCCATCTGTTGAGTGCACCCGACCCCATGTTCCGTTCCCCCGTGGAAGGCTGTGATCTTATTGACACCTGTGTAGTTTCCTTCTTATTGTTCAGCTTTTACTCCTCAGAAGTGATGTGGGTAGTCCCATGGTCGACAGGAACCAGTTCACCCAGGACAGTCCTGAACTCCAGACGTGTTCCAATGGGAACAAGTGGCTGAGTCGGTGTAGATTGTGATTTGTTCGTGAGATTTAGTGACGTATCACAAGATGGATGGCCAAGATCAGTTACGAGATGGAATTATTGTCGGTCTGTTTAGGCTTCTTATAATTAAAGCCTGTGTGGAAGCTTGCCAGTGTGTTGCTGGAGACCCCTGCTAGTGTTGCTGGAGACCCCTGCTAGTGTTGCTGGAGACCCCTGCTAGTGTTGCTGGAGACCCCTGCTTGTGTTGCTGGAGACCCCTGCTAGTGTTGCTGGAGACCCCTGCTAGTGTTGCTGGAGACCCCTGCTAGTGTTGCTGGAGACCCCTGCTAGTGTTGCTGGAGACCCCTGCTAGTGTTGCTGGAGACCCCTGCTAGTGTTGCTGCAGACCCCTGCTAGTGTTGCTGGAGACCCTGCTAGTGTTGCTGGAGACCCCTGCCAGTGTTGCTGGAGACCCCTGCCAGTGTTGCTGGAGACCCCTGCCAGTGTTGCTGGAGACCCCTGCCAGTGTTGCTGGAGACCCCTGCCAGTGTTGCTGGAGACCCCTGCCAGTGTTGCTGGAGACCCCTGCTAGTGTTGTTGGAGACCCCTGCTAGTGTTGCTGGAAACCCCTGCTAGTGTTGCTGGAGACTCCTGCTAGTGTTGCTGGAGACCCCTGCTAGTGTTGCTGGAGACCCCTGCTAGTGTTGCTGGAGACCCCTGCTAGTGTTGCTGGAGACCCCTGCTAGTGTTGCTGGAGACCCCTGCTAGTGTTGCTGGAGACCCCTGCTAGTGTTGCTGCAGACCCCTGCTAGTGTTGCTGCAGACCCCTGCCAGTGTTGCTGGAGACCCCTGCTAGTGTTGCTGGAGACCCCTGCCAGTGTTGCTGGAGACCCCTGCCAGTGTTGCTGGAGACCCCTGCCAGTGTTGCTGGAGACCCCTGCCAGTGTTGCTGGAGACCCCTGCCAGTGTTGCTGGAGACCCCTGCCAGTGTTGCTGGAGACCCCTGCCAGTGTTGCTGCAGACCCCTGCTAGTGTTGCTGCAGACCCCTGCTAGTGTTGCTGCAGACCCCTGCTAGTGTTCGTAGCTCGCAGGGGAGGGGACGGACGTGTCGTCGTCGCGCTCCGTGAAAACACTGGAATAAACCGGGCTTTTTTAGGATTACAACCATGGATTACGGCCCACAGTGATCACCAAGTGCATAGTGACCCGTAGGAAAGTTGAATACAAAAATTAACAATGGAACTTTGATTTAAATACAGAATAAACTTGGGACAACGTGGTGAGCCAGGGCCACCAGGCTCATATGTGTACAGGCATAAGCGATATATATCATATATAGCGAGCAGTGATACGTTGAACAGTGAAGTGGAACGTGTAACATAACATATAAATTAGTGGATAGTGTTAGAGAATTGTATATAGAAACAAGTATAAATGTAAAGTTGTGGCAGGAGGCATCACACTAGGCTGTTTACACCACAGCCACGAGGCCTACACAGTGTAGGGGACGTCCCGCAGTAACAGTATACTCCCTCAGTGATAATATACTGGCAATATATATGGTAATACGGGCAAGTGGAACTAGTAATAGAGTAAGTGAATAACATTGCAAGCCGCAAGAAAGCAGAAAATCCCTTAGGATATTACAGGCAAATAATCAGTGTATAAATCAAGTAACTGGCAACCGGTGGCATCCTGCCCCCGTCCTGGGACAAACAACAGTCAACTGTACGGTCCCCAAGGGAACCATATTTCTCCACAAGGCGATAAGTACCCCCACATAATCTTGAACAAATAAACATATGTAATATTATAAATATTCTGTATACATATTATATATACATACATGAAATATTATAAATATATTCATATAATATTATAACACCACAAACCCAACATGGAGGTGTGTGGAGGCTGCTTTAAGCCACTTCGGAAGAGTGTTGTAGGGATTTTATGTAACAGTTGCAACATAAGATTTCACCTGAGTTGTACAGGATTACTTACACAATATGCAAACTGGGAAGATAACTACTGGATCTGTCAAAGTGACAGACAGATGTGGGAAAACATTACCAAACTAATGAATAACATTCCTGAAGTACACAGGCTACAATTCACACAGAAACTATCAGAAATATATGCAGAGTATATAAAGACAACAACGAACTCTGAGCACAACCCAGGGACTGAGAATTTAGAGAGTCAAAGTAGCAATGTAGAAGGACATAGTTTCGAGGTACACAAAAATGAAGGCAATATTGTAGAGCAAACTTGTGATATGAATAAGGAGAGAAAAAATGAGACGAATGAGAACACAAATGAGAAAGACGAAAGCAACAAGGAGAAAGATAAGGGCAATACCGAGAATGAATGCAGAAACAAGAAAGTTGGAACAAAAAATACAGAGGTAGCCAAGTCGTGCACGGGTACAAACAAGAATAATACAATCAAAGATGAAAATATTTGCAGGTATTATAAAAAAGGACAGTGTAGATATGGGACCAGAGGCACGGAATGCTCATTCATGCACCCACGGAAATACCAAAACTGGTTAGGGAAAGGCAGATGTCGTTTTGATACAAAGTGTAGATATTTTCACCCTAAGCTATGCAAACTCTCAGTTAATGAGAGGATATGCTACGATCTTCATTGCCCTGATTTCCACGTCAGAGGTACAGAGCGCTATATAAGAGAGGAAGTCCAATATAATAGCCCTGAAATTTTTTTAGAGGCAGGCAGAAACGTGGCAGAAGTACGGATGGAGAGGGGGAAATGCCCAAGACTGGACTCCGGTTCGTCATCAAGTCCCCCTCACCTGTATGGTTTCCTTCCTGGAAGAAGCACACAAACTTGCTTTGCTGAGTATTTTATCAGAGAGGGACCAAACTCTCAGGCGGCATTTATTGATCTCCAAACTGCTTTTGATACAGCAAACAGAGAAATAATCATAGAACAGCTAGCTTCTTTTGGAGTTAAGGGAAGACTGTTGACATGGCTCAGGGGATACCTGAGTAACAGAACGGCCTCAGTCCTTTTCAAGGGGGTCAAAAGTAAACTCTGTGCACCCTTTGAGTTGGGTACACCCCATGGTGGAGTGCTAAGTCCCACACTGTTCAATGTTCTGATGCATAAATCAACAATTGATATTCCCACACTACCTGACGAAGCCGTCATTTGTTATACCGATGATATATGCATTGTTGCAAATTCCCAAACTAGACTGCAAGCTCTACTAGATTCATTCGCTGCTAAAAGCATTGAATGTGGTCTTGTTATCTCTATAACTAAATCCAGAGTTCTCCATCCCCAAGAGAAAACTCATGTCCCTATAGCTTTCAAGGTCAACAACCAGAACATTGAAACGTGTGGGCAGCACAAATACCTTGGAGTTGGTATTAACAGTGACATTGTAAATTATCTACACCGTAGGTTAAAAGAAAGACTAAAACCATTGAGAACACTTACTGGTAAGAATATTGGTATCAATATTAAATATGCTAGACTATTCTATATGATGTTTGTTAGATCTCTCGTTGATTATAATGCTCTGCACTTAATTAATTTCCCCTCCTCTGTGTTGGACAAACTTGAAGTAGTACAGAATGAGGCCATGAGGATAGTTCTTGGTGCTCCAAGATGCACAAGAATCATCAACATGAGGGAAGAACTGAAGCTTCCAACCATACTAGAGAGAATAATGCAAGTTAACACTACCTTTTGCCTTAAAGTCATGAGAGATCCTACATCTCCTGCATTGCTCAGAGACAAATTATTTAGTGCTGTTAACACCCTTTTGACTGGTGCCGACATACCAACTCACTCCTTTTATGATAATTGGCTGAGCAACAATGCTTACAATCTCATTAAATTTAACATTCCTTTTAAGTGCAATCTACCTGTCTCTGATATTCCTCTTTATCTGTACCCCACCATTCAAGTATCATACACACCTGTCACCAAGAAAGATAATGAGAATCTTGCTCTACTCAAAGCTGTCACTTTCGAAACAATTGTCTCCTCCATCGAGAGTCTAAGATCTCACGAGCACTGTGTCTACACCGACGGCTCAGTCCAATCCTCTA